ACTCATCAGGATTGGAGCAAATTTAGAGTCTGCTTAGTGGTGATGAAAGTTTATCAGCTTTGTTTTTTGAGATAATGAATTATACAAGCCAATTTTTCCTCCATTGAACTGTGAGAGTTCGGTTAGAATAGAGATCAACATCGAGGTATTTGAAGATGCAGCCATACACTGTGCAGCCATTCATTTGTATATATATTTACTACGGACCTGGTAATGGTAGGTCGTTACTATAGGCATGGTGGAGGGGGCATAGTGGAGTAATGGATAGCGGCTTGGATTGAGGAATCAGAGAGCCAAGTTCAAATTCCAGTCGGGTCTATTACATTCTATTAAGTGTTAATATCCTTGCAAAGGTATTATCTTCTTCTAACAACCCCCACCCATCAGTAGGACAGACTAGGTTCTATAGCCTTGATTGTCAACCGGTCTAGGAGAAAATAACTCTGAATTCAAAATTGTATGTAGCCCTGGCGTAGCACATAATATACAGCTAAGGAAAGGATCGTTTGCATTGGCTCGATAAACACCCGACAACGGTCGAAAATGATGATGATGACTATAAAGCTGGAAGAGGGTAGAACTGAGGAGGAGAGTGTTTCGGGGGGGCGGCACTAATGATCATACATGCCGCAGATGCCTGGAATGTGTTGACAGTTAATAGGTTAGTTATGTTATTATTTCTTCTTTTCTCGTTACATGTTCTACCTATTGTTGAAGTCGTAGGGAAAGTAATGGACAACGGCTCGGATTGAGGAATCGGAGAGCCGAGTTCGAATACCAGTCAAATCCATTACATTCACTTACGTGCTAATACTTTTGGGAAATGTATAAATCCACTTCTCATTCCCCCTAGCTATGGGTAAAATAGCAGCACAGATGTTTACATCCTTGGATAGCAACTGGTCAAACTACTGCGGTAGAAATGGTAGCCTAGAGCGGGAAAAAAATCTGCCTCGTTAGTCATATATCAAAAGGTACATGATCGCCTACGCGTGTATCAAGCATGACACATAACTGACTGATTATTAGTATTAAAGTGATGTTGTTTTGTTTTTTTTAGTAGCAAAATTAGTCGTTTCCATATTGGAAAGATTCTCAATACAGAGACCATATATTTAGTGATATTGTCGGCTGAAATTGATAAACATTTTTTTGTTCTTAAAACAATTCTTAAGGAACAAAAATCGTCATGATTCCAAAATTTAGGAAATATTTCCCTGATTATTTTCCCTCAAGTTATTTTTCAGCAAATTCTTTGTAGTAACCCTCATACGCATGCGTACAACAACCTCACAAAGACTGCTTTTGGTAAAGAGAGCATCAAAAAACCCGCACTACTTTTGATGAATGCAGTCTAATCTTCTTTTAGTATCTGGTAGCCTTCTGTCTGTCTTTCAGCTCCAATCGATTGCCCGCAGTCTCTGGTGGGTGCGACAACTTCAAAGAATAGCTATATTTGTTTCCGAAAATTATAGAATATATGGCATACGGCTTAAAACGGTGATGGGTAGTTTTTTGTTGCCTTGTCTTTTAACCTCGCTAGCAGCAATAACTGACCCAAACATTCGATAATTTTCCTTTCACTGAATTCACAAATTGACACTTCTTTCTTTCATATCAGACCCCACTATACAATAATGTACCTCCACTTTTTCGCGAAAAAAAATAGCATGATGAAAAAAGGCGCCAAACTTAATAAAAACAAAGTTTTGTCATCAAAATGTTCATGTTGTTATTAAGAGGAAAAACAAAAGTATTTTTTAAATTATTTTTTGAAATTTTTTAATCCTTAGGTATCGAAAATTCAGTGGAGGTACCTACAATAATGTAAACGTGAAGTCCTAAATAATCACTTATGTACAATTTTATTGAATAATAATAATAATAATAATAATAACGTTTAAAAATTATCCCAAGCGAATATTTTCTATGCACAAATACTCCTTTCCCAAGGTAACATAGAAGAGTGTAAAGTTTTTTGTTTTGTTTTGTTTTTAATTTAATTCGAATAGCGGCTTGGATTGAGGAATCGAAGAGCCGAGTTCGAATTCCAGTCAAATCAATTAAATTCATTTACAGGCTAATACCCTTGGGAAAGGTATGAATCGTCTTCTCCTCCCACCAAATATGGTTAAATAGCAAGACAGACCGGGTTCTATAGGCTTGGATGTCAACTGGTCTATCGCAGAACGGAATGACAACCTAGTGCAGGAAAAATAACTACCGCGTCAGTCATATATCGAAAGATAGATGATCGCCTAAGCGTGTATCACGCATGGCACATAACTGACTTATATTAGTCAGAAAGAGTTAATTGAAATTTCTAGGACATAATGAGGAATGAGGGCGTGGAAAATTCAACACTCGTGGCAGGCATAACCTGCTTTACGAGTTTGGGCGAATCGTTGGTACGAACAGAGATAAGGATATATAACAAAAAGTCAAACATTGCGAAGAGCGATGAAGACAGAAAGCTGTAGAAAAGTACGATCGTCCACATCGTGATTATTTAAAATATATTAAAAATAAATGAATCGAAAACTAAAATAATATAAATAAAAGTTACATTATAACAAAAATAAAAAATTATCTTGTTTCTTAAAATGGTATCATCCTTCATAATTTAACTTCATTTTCAGTTATCCTCATACATACTGATGAAGCTTCTTAAAGATTTAAAAAAAAAAATCTGAAAAAAAAAATAACGACATTTTTACTTGTATTTATAAATGCTAGTCGCAAAATAAAATTCTTACATTTGCCTTGACAAAGTCCGACAGAGGTCGAAACGCGGCGGCTAAGTGAAATTTCTTTTTTGTCAGTATGTGAATAGATATTTTCTTCTAATTCTATCGCACTTCTAGCTTGTGGAAACATCTTCCAACTTCTTGATTCCCAGCTAACATTGATCTTCAAAAATTTACATGCACTATCAATCGTTATCTTCTGTCTTCTGAATTCTTGTTCTTTTATTGTCCTCTCTCCTTAATAATAGATTTTTCTTATATTGTCATACACTCAGTAACTCCTTGCATCCTAGTGGCTTTATTGGCTTGTTTAGGCTCAATGATATATATATATATATATATATATATATATATATATATTTAGTTGGGTTGGTGTGCAAACTCACACCAATCCAATTAAATATGTTAGCTCTATCAATGATATCGAGCGTTTTCCAATAAGTACCATTGCATATATAATATATAAATAATATATATATAAATAATTATATATACATATATATACACACGCATTTTACACACACACACACACATATACACACACACATATATATATATATATATATATATATATATATATATATATATATATATATATATATATAATTAATTGGTTTTAAAATATGTTTTTCCGCTACACAGTCCTAACCATGTTTCAAAAATAGAAGCTAAAAAGCCCTGAATTTAATTTTGCAATTAAATTAAAAGCATTAGTTCCATTTCATCCTTTTAGCTTCTATTTTTTGAAACATGGTTAGGACTGTGTAAAAAAAAAATATTCTAAACCAATTAATTTATAATATTAATGCTCTGTAAATTTACATTGAGCACTATTTTGTAAAAATAAAAATATCTATAAGAACACCGGATTATATATCTGACTGTTTCTTTCTTTTTATATATATATATATATATATATATATATATATATATATATATATATATATATATATATATATGTTTGACACGAAGACTCACTCTACATCTTTCTGATCATAGCTCAATTAGATCTCATTTAAATATTCATGGAGACCTACCGGACCCTATTATAATGGAAGCCTTATTAATAAAACAAAACAAAACAAAAGCAAAAACAACTCGGTAATAATCAATTATAAAAATGGACACAATATCTTGACCGTATACAGAAAAAAATGGAAACATTATAAAAATACATTCATGCAACAAACTATTTCTTATTTTTCAGTTAAAATAGTTAGTCCTTGAAAATGGGTAAAGATATAGCCGAAAGCGCTCGGAAAAAAAGAACATTCGGACTTTTTATTATATAATTTATCATCTGAAATGACAAAAATTATTAGATCGCATGAGAAATTATATATAAAACAAAATCAAATCACCTTCTCTGTCGTATTCAATGAAATGTGCAAGAAAGAAGGGTTACTGCTAAAATACACAATATATATATATATATATATATATATATATATATATATATATATTTTTTGGGTCATGAATAATTTCCATTTTTAGGAATCCATTGTAATGACTAATGCATTAACCTAAGTACTTGTCATATGGGGCAGCTAAGGATAAATATCTTGTAGACTAACACGCGATAATATAAAGGCAGGGGATTAGCAAATATGAATCTCCAAAACCGACTTAAAAATCTCAGCTCCATAGAAGAAAGGTAATGATTTACGTCTTTGTATTATCAGTGTTTTTTTTCATTTATCATTCTTAAAACACAATGAAGCAATAAATGCACATTTATATGTCCAACAGCCACAAAGTGTCCCTAAATATTTAGTAGAAAAGCGTCATAATGCAAACTTTCTCCTCCAAAGCAAGGTAATATAGACCAAGAACAACACACAAAAAAAGTTGGGAACTTGGTTAGTCTGTTCCAATTCATATACCGTATTCATCTGAACTTGCACCAGGCGATTATTGCATTTTTGGACTGCTGCAAAATGATTTGATAGATAAAAATTTTCTCTAATATAAACAAGATTAACGTGTTCCACGAAAAGCTTTTCACATTAAATTGTTATCGAAGAGCTGCCTGATAAATAGTCACAAGTATTTGAAATGAATGGGGAATATATTACACAGGACTGCACATGTTTTGGTACAACCCATTTAACATAATTTTGAGACCAAGACCATTTAACTGGTCATCTCCACAACTGGACGATTAATATGACTATTTCTACCCAAATTTCCCATACTTTTCATATTAATTCAGAATTCCAAGACAGTGTCTATTACGCCACTCGTCCATCCAAGCTTACAGTACCTGCTAATCCCAATCAGTCACCCATCTAGACACTGACCACGCCCGACTTTACTTAACTTCGGTGATCGTATGGGAACTGGTGTTCAAAGCAATATGGCCGTAAGCACATCGAAATATTTCTGCTATGATTACAATTGTGTGTGTGTGCGTGTGTCCATGCAAGAAACTAAAAAAAGGGTGTTACTATAAGAACCCCCTTCACAATTATAATCGTAGCAGAAGAAATAACGGTTAACCCGCCGAGAAAAGCGACAAATTATACAGTAAAATTATTCCCCCAAGCAGCCAGAGTAACTGCACTCTGGCAATTACGAAAAAGAACAAAAATTCCATTAGCATCTGGCACCTACCAGAGAACTGAAAACTTTGTCACATAAGATCTACAAAGAATAACAACTCCCCATTATGTGTCATGGTGACTTTATATTCAACTATCGTCACGCCCCCTTGCGATTTTAATAATTATAGTTTCAAGGACGTTAACTCAAAATATATTTTCTCTGTCTCTGTTTTTTTTTTATAGTCGTACGCAAATATATTCAATCTCAATATGATTTCCCTCAATTTTCTCTGTTTAATAATTCTGAATTTGATTCGATGACATTGAACTGCAAAATTAATTCTAACAATTCGTGAATAGATTATAAATAAGAGAGAATTAATATTGCTAATTATTCTATTTCCAAAATAAGCATTAATACCCTTTATATAAATAATGGATCCTAGTGAAATATTTAATTTGTCGGTAAATTAGATCATAACACCAGATACAATTGAATCCTTCTTATATCAATGGCGTCACCTTTAGAAAGCCGATATGAATCACAAAATCTATTTTGTAATCTTTTTAATATATTTTCTAAATTGTTTTATATGCTCTACTCGATTGTCTTATCTACCGTTCATAAGTGGACATTAAGTAGTATTATTAAGTATTATTATAATGTATTCCCTTTGGCGAATAGAACACATTACATTGGTAACTGTAGTTGAAATAAGTTTTTATTCCATGTCCCTTCTAGCAATACGTGATTCTGCCTTTCCATTTTTTTTATATGCGGATGGCCATTACTTCTTAGTAATTATAGTGGGGCAGTTTCCCGTTGCCTTCTCCGTGGTGTTGATGTCTCTGGTGACTCATTTACAAAGGGAGTCACAAAGACTATAAATAGCTACGGCAATTACACACGAGGCAGTTGAGTGCATACTACTTCCCGTGAGTCAGCAAAACTACGCTACAATGGCATTGCCGATATCTAAAGAACCGAACGAATAATTATGACTTGATAATTATTATGAGTACGCACAAGCCTGGATTAGGATACTAGCAGCTAAAGCTAGACCAAAAACTGAAGGATTTGAAATCAGTTGGGGGAGATAACCAGAAAACTGATCTCATCATGGAAACTCCTTATTGTGAGGCCATTATAAAATGCTGACCCAAAACAGTTGGAAGACATGACCTTTGACGATATAAGTCAACTGATATCGGAAAATATAGCATCCAAGAAAATGCTAGTGAATGCAGAATGTGCAAAGTTCATGAACATTTCTCAAAAAGTGAATGTACTTCGTTTGAAACAGGCCGCTATATATTGTGAATTTGAGAAACTGTGAATAGAAAAACAGTCAACGGAAGCGGATTTGATCCAAATGAAATTGGTAAACGGTCTTCAAAATGTAGAATATTTGGCAAATGACTCTAATGCATTTACAACTGGGAACGTTGTCACTAGAACAATATGTCGAATAAAGAAAAAGACAGTATAATGTGTACATTTGTTGTTATCAATATCAAAGAGAAAAACAAAAATGTCAGGCATATAAAAATGAAACATTTTAACCGTATATGTTAAGTTGTGTTGTCTTATGCTGTGTTACATATTGTGTAGTGTAGTATTGTGTTGTGTTGTGTAGTATTGTATTGTGTTGTGTAGTATTGTGTTGTGATGTATTGTGTAGTGTAGTATTGTGTTGTGCCGTGTAGTATTGCATTGTGTTGTGTAGTATTGTGTTGTGTAGTATTCTGTTGTGTAGTATTGTGTTGTGTAGTATTGTGTTGTGCTGTGTTGTGTAGTGTAATGTAGTATTGTGTTGTGTCGTGTAGTATTGCATCGTGCTGTGTAGTATTGTGTTGGGCTGTGTTGTGTAGTGTAGTATTGTGTTGTGTCGTGTAGTATTGCAATGTGTTGTGTAGTATTGTGTTGTGTTGTGCAGTATTGAGTTGTGTTGTGCTGTGTTGTGTTGTGCTGTGTAGTATTGTGTTGTGTTGTGTCGTGTTACTTATTCACAGAAAGTTGTATGCACTCAACCGCCTATAAATAATAACCGTTGCTATGTAATTTTTTTTAATTCCTACCTAAATGTGTCACCTCATCTCCCTGTACCGAAGAGATTTTATCCCTTTATTTTTCTTGAAACTTCTTCTGAGGGTTTTTGTCTCCTCAATATCTTTCTCTCTTTCTCTAAGCGATTGTGTAGATATGGAAGATCGTGATCTTTTTATTTTTCCATAAGAATGTTCCTCCAACGATTGTTCGTTTTCAGAGTTTATATTACTCTCGAATTCACTCTCATGTATGTCATGTCTTGGCATGACACTTTCGCCTTCAATACTTTCAGGTTCACTGCACATTTCTTCATCGCTGTCCTGTTGCAGCCTAACATGGCTTACATGCGCTAATATGCCATTTCCATTTGTTATACTATCATAGTGTTCTGTCCATTTTGCATTAGGAATCCTTCTTCTTGTAGATTAGATTCACTATTTTTTATATCACAGTTCTTTTGTTGGTGGCATAAAACATGGTCAATGGAGATCAAATTTGCCTACCCAAGCATGCAGACAGGCTTTTCGATCTTTCAGCATACGATATTGTCCTATAGTTTAGCAACATTCTAGGAGGAAACGTTTCTATCTTTTCTTTCCGTTGTAGACATTTTCAATCCGTTTTTTATAATTTGCACCATCCTTCCTGATAATCCGTCTAATTGTGGATGGTACGGCGAGATTTGGCATAGTTTGCATCCATTTCTGTTCAACTATCGACATTTTTTTTTTCGTCACAGAACTCTGGGGCGTTGTCAGATACTAGCGTTTTCGGGATTCCATTTCTTGAAAATATGATCCTTAACGCTTATTTCGCGGTCAAACTTGTTTTGTTGGAAACTTATATTTGTTCTAGCCACTCTGAATTCGCATCAACCAAAATAATTACCCTCCATTAACATGGGCATGGTCCATGTGTACTCTGTCCCAAGTCTGGGATTCTTTAGACTATGTATGTGTTTTTTTTTTCTGTCTGAATTTTCTTCTTTTAATGCACGTTTTACACCTTTTTAGGTATTCTTCTAAATCTGTAGAATAGCCTGACCACCATGTCTCTAACCTTAATCTCCTTTGTGTAGACGTTATTCCACAATGAACATCGTCATGTATGCTTTTTTTTTTTTATAATTTTGGCCCTTTGCGTTTTTGGCGGAACCGCTACGTCTCCATTACAAATTACACACTTTTCTATCGTTAACTTGTGTCTAAGTCCTTTAAAGCGCCTTTCTGTTCTGTAAGTAATTATTCCACATATTATTTTTTTTTTATCCTGCACCGTTCAGTATAAGATCTTGGTTCGTATCTTCAGCTAATTTTTCTATAGACAAAATATCAGTTTCGATATAGTGTAAGAAAATATCTTCGAATTTTTCCTCTTTCTCACTTTCAGAACTAATGAATCTCAATCACGACAAAGCCTTTAAATGCGGAATGGTATTGCCTTTCATGTATCGAATATCAAAGTTAAACGCCATTAATATTAAGAACCATCTCAGAATTCTAGTAGATGTTACATTAGGAAGTTACTTCCTGGATTAAATATGAATTATAAATGTCTATGGTCGGATCTTAGTAAGAATTTCTTTTTAATCAGAAATTGATGAGCTCTATTTGTCGTCCATATTATAGCCAACGCTTCTTTCTTGATATTTGCGTAGTTCTTTTCGACTTTTGGCAATTTTCTCGAAAGACAGAAGTCAGTCGTTACCATTTATTGCTTTCTAGGGTAGGATATTTTTCCTACTAGCGTTTATGCCAGAATAACTTGTAAATTTTCAAATGCCACTTTGTTCTTTCGTCCAAATAAATTCGACATTTTTTCTTAAAGCGGCAAAATGTTTTGTCTATTCGGAATATGACTCTACATGTAGTTTGTAGAGATTTATAAGTTCTAAGAAAGTTTCCAATTCTTTTTTGTTCTTAGATGCATCAACTTTTGATATTTTGGCTATTAACTATTGGTCTGGTGATATGCCTTCCTTAGATATGGAATAACCCCAAAATTATACTTTTTTTAGTGCTATGCCCACATTTCTTTCGTTAATTGTTAATCCAGCAATTATTTAACTCATTCAAAACGATCCTGATTTTCCATTTTAGTTCTTCGTCGTTAATAGCGCCAACACAAATATCATCCTGATAACATTTTTTATATCGCTATCAATAACTTGTCCCATATTTTTGTCTCTCCGATGTATTCCCTCCATCTTTAAAATATTTTTTTTTCTCAAGAATCAGCGTTGCCTCTTTTGATTTTGCATATCCTCTCGAGGAGTACCTCTTTAGTCCAGTAATTTCTCTTCTTATGTTATGCATATCTGTCTAATCTCTAATGTTCGTTCTCTTTATTCCCGTACACTTTTCGTTGAACCATGTCTCTGTTGCCTGTCTTCATTTGTTACTGGTTTGCGTAATTTCTTATATTCTGTACCAAGTCTTGACACTGTTTGCTGTCTCCGTTATATCACGTAGAAAATTTCGTCTGTCATCAAAACGTTTCTTTTCTTGTCTAGTTCACTAATGTCGTTTAAGGTTTGTGGTTTACTTTAAATTTTCATTCTTATACTTTATTTATTGCATTTGTGGCACAAGGTCTAAAAAGGTGGGAAGGGTTGTGGCTGGTCGACACTCTCTTATGTGTATCTATTGTGTGACTGAATTAGAATTATTTAACCGGCTTCATATTCATTTAATGAATGTTATTATGTGAGGGCAAGGGCTTGAAATTTCTGATGTTTGGTTTAAAAGATTTTTTGGATCCGGAACTGTCATAATTGCTAATTTCTCATATTGGCATAGTTTGCAAATGTGGGTATAATTGTTATATGTTTTTTTACAATTTTAAAAAAAAAATTTCCCACCTTACGACTGGATTCCTGTTATGTTTTCTTTTAAATTCTACATGTGGTTGGCAAGTTTGGTGCAGTATCTAAAGTTTGGTAACTAGCCTCTCCACCCTCCATAACAAGTCACATATTTGTTCTCCCTCTTTACTGTATACATCTACAATAGACTTGCATTCCCGTTTCTTTCCATTATTTGTTCAATTTTCCTTTACCCTGTCTTTCCATTACACTAAATGTCCTACCTTTCAATCCTCATGAGCCTGTTTTTTTTTGTTTTAAAAGATAATTATGTAGCGTTCTTTGTGGGTTTTTTTAAATAAAGCTTTAAAGTGGTCATTTTAAAAGTATCAACTGAAGAGTCCTCAGGTCGAAACCATGGTCGTGTATTTTAATTGACCTCCTGATATTTAAAGTATATATATATATATATATATATATTACTTCTTCCACACAACACACCTTACAACAGAAACATGGAAAACACTTCAACAACAACGCCCTTATAGACATGTAATGAATTCTTAGAGGCCTACATCAAATGTTATTTGCATTTTTGCGATATTTAAAGGTAAATTTATCCATCGTACCATATATATATATATATATATATATATATATATATATATATATGTTGTGGATTCCGGGTTGAAATCCGGTACCAATAAATAACAAACGCCAGGAATGAATAGATGAAAATAATGTATTAACGTAATAATACAAACTGGTAAAGCAGGTTATTAGTTCAAGGAATACGGCTTAGTAGCAAAAAATATATATAGTCTTTGGTGTTGAAGTATCGCTGTATGACTTCTTACTGAGTCTACGTGCTCGCTCACGGTGACTCCTACGACGCTGTTACCTCACCCTCACTCTTCCGATTACCTACAACCTTTTACTCTGACTCTGTCCACGGGTATTCACTGGCAGTAATATAAGTATACACTGGGTGAGTCCATTTGTATAAAAAGGGGTGGACCCCTCAACAATATATATAGCCAGAAAACATTCTGAGAGAGTGAGCTGGAGAGAAGAATATATTTTTTTATCTATTTCAATATGTAAATAAAACTTGTTATGCGACAATTTCTGCTTATTTGATTAGAATTTAACAAGTTTTCTGTAGGTCGGTGTTTCACGTTTCTACTCATATGTGTGATTTCAACAAAAATTGAATACAAACAGTGTAAGTATTTACTTAATATTATATGCAGTCGTCCAAACGCCATTATGGAATCATAGCGACCCCGTCTTTAGTGCAAACGTAAAAAAAGGGGGAGTCAAAAATGCTTTTTCTTCCTAGTGCACTTACCTGCCCGTTCATGATCGCTAGATTGTTTCACATTTCGCATTTTAAGCCTTTGGAAACCTATCTCATTTCTTTCTTCTTACATCCTTTCCATTCCATTAAAGTTTATTTTTTCCTCCGGTTAGATTTAATTTAAAGACATTTTGTCTTATTTTTCATTGTTTTCTTTTATCGTTTTTTGTAGTTTTTTTTTTTTTTTTTTCATATTTTTTATTAACTAGTTTTCGTTTTTTTTCTAGCTTTCATTCAGTCTCTCTCTAATTCCACCAGATTTTTGGATTCGCTTTACTTTTTTGTGCTTCCTTTTCGATGATTTTCGGAGTATTTTTTTTTTTTTACAATATTTTGTCCCTCTTTTTCTTCCCTCGTTTTTCATCTCATATACTTTCTTTTGTTTTGTCCTTACTTCCGTGTTACTCGTTTTATTTCTGAGCTTTCTTTTTCATATTTCCTTTTCTTTCTTTTTAGCATCTTTCATTAGTTCTTTCTTTCTTTGTTTCTTTTAGTGTATCATTCTTTTAGTGTCACTTTTTACGTCTTTTCTTCTTTCTTTCTTATTGCTTTATATTACACCTTTATTTTTTTCTTTCATTTTAGTAACTCTTGTTGCATATATCCTCCTTTCTTCGTGTATCTTACTGTTTTTCTTTCTTTCTTTTTACTACTTCTTATTACTTCTTTCCTGTCGTTTTTATTCACTTATTAGTCTATCTTACGTCTCTCTTTCTTTGTTTAAATTTTTGTTAAATGGTAATAGTAAAATTAGCCGTTTCCCTGCAAGGAAACATTCGGCGTTTATTGACCAAACAACCAGTACTGATTTCAGCTGAAATTTATAAAATCTTTCTCTTAAAACAATTTTTCAGGTAAACAGATTTATCCTATCCATTATCTTTTATTGCTTTTTCCTTTATTGATGGAATGGGGGTCCTTTCTAACTTTTAATTTGAAGTACTGTGAAATGTCAACATCTTGATTATGTCATTATTTTCTCTATCATAAAACTTCCTCGTTATTTACATACTCCGTCCATAGTATTCTCAGCATCCTTCTGTAGAACTAAATTTCTCCTACTTCAAGTCTCTTCTCTGTCTGTGAGAATATTTCCACCTCCATAGTAGAGGACTGGAATTTTGTTGTGGTACGATCCACCTAATTTACATAGTGGAGTACCGACCATATAAATATGGGTTGGTACCGGGAAGACGGGTGAAGGAAGTAACAAGAGATCCAATCCAGAGACTCTGCCCGACTGCGATTTAGTCAACCCATTCTACAGGAACAGTCTTCCCAAGAATATACCAAAACTAACTGTAAATATTGTGTACCTTTTCCTTGTTTCAATACATTTTGTTTACGTACATTTTGTGTTGTATTATTATTATTCCATGCTTATCCAAGCTTCAACAAATTTGATGACAGATTTTTAGTCGTTTATTTTGTTTCTGACGAAATTTCCATGTATCTTAATACTTTGATTAGTTTTTGGAAGGCGTCTTTCGCTATCTGTCTGCATTTCTGAGATGAGGTATTATGTACACTATTTACATTATTCGGACTACTGTCCTCATCTTTGTCACCATATTTATTACAACGTTTCGGCCGTTGTATGCTCCGGCCTTCTTCAAGTGGTTGGAATGTTGAACTGAACCCTTTATTTCGCTCACTGGGGTAGACAGTTCTAGTTCCACGTGCCATGTTTAATGGATGTCAGTTATCTCCTGTTAATTTCCCTCTCCAAGTTCTCCACTGCCTTAACCGGGTATTGAACTCACACTCTTTGAGGACACATGGCGCAGTGGATAAAGGCGTTGGTTAGTGACAGGAACCAAACAGTGTGAGTTCAATACCCGGTTAAGGCAGTGGAGAACTCTTTAGTATCTGGAATTTGTAGTTTGCGTCTTAAGGTGTCCCCCTTGCTCTTAACCATACGTACTGTCGCCTTACAATAGATGGTTAGTCTTTTCTTCACATTTTCCTATTCTGTGTTCTCTTTGAGTCCCCGCAGTTTTCTTTTCTGTGTTTACTATAGACATTGTGTTATCTGAATATCTTATGTTGTTAAAAGCACGTCATCCAATAATGAATCTGCGTGGTATTCTATTTCTCACTTCTCTGTGATGATTGGATAAATCTTATGAGAAAACATTTCCTTGTCTTACTCGCTATCTATTCTTATGTATTTACACAATTCATTTTCTATCTGTACAAGGCAATGTACAGATTTACACAATTCATTTTCTATCTGTACAAGGCAATGCCAAAAATTGTTCAACTATGTCTTCATTTCATTGGCATCGCAGCTAAACTATTAAAACAACAAATCCGTCTATATTTCTGACATCAGATATTGTAACTTTTTACATCGTTCTGACTGTTGTCCTCATCTTTATCAGATTCACGACGTTTCGGTCGTTGTACGGATATCACCTGAAGAAGGCCGGAGCATACAACGGCCGAAATGTCGTGAATATATGACAATAAAGCTGTGGACAACAGTCCGAACAGTGTAAATAAAGGTTAAGTTGTGGAGATTTAGGATAACATAAAGAGACACGGTGCATAGATAATGATGACCAGGTTGTATCTATTATAGACACCCTTGTGATATCTGTCCTTCTTTGTGGCAGCGAATATTGGACGGTCTTCTCAAAGATGAAGAAGAGACTCGAGGCAACGAAGGTATGATTCTATAGGAGTATGCTAAGGATACCATGGGCCGAACATGTGAGCAACGATGAAAGTTTTGGAGAGGATACAAACAAGGAAGCAGCTTATACTTAACATCAAGAAGAGCCAGCTGGTGCTTCTGGGACACGTAATGAGAAAAGAGGGCTTGGAGAATCTGATACTCACAGGGCGGATACAGGGAAAGAGAGACAAGGGAAAGCAACGCGGGGCATACGTGGCGGGCTTAAGCGAGTGAAAGACGGAACAATGTTTGGGAAAAGTAGCAAAAGGACAAAATATATTGAGAGCTACAATGGATAGAGAAAAGTGGAGTGCCATGATCAAAGATGAAGAAGAGACTCGAGGCAACGAAGGTATGATTCTACAAAAGGTTGCTAAGGATACCATGGATCGAACATGTGAGCAACGATGAAGTTGTACGTTCCGACCTTCTCCCGCAGGCTAAAAAAGGTGTTTGTTACGAAATTCGAACGTATGTCACCTGAATAAGGTCGGAGCGTACAACGACCGAAACGCCATCAATATTTGTTATAGAGTAGTTTCACAGTGGAGGCTTGTATTTCACTAAGTCGGCCCTAAAATAGGTTCGACGTACAAAACGTTAGGAACTTGATATTATAGTTAATGACGCAGCAATCTAGTTGTGATGGCTGATACTTTTAGTATCCGACTAACGGTCGTCCGACATCGACTGACTGACCAACTCTCTGAGCCGACTCGCGACTATTACTCCTACTTATTATAGGTGGGAGAGTCTATTAACAATAGAAAAGGTGTGTTCCGGTATAACAATATGGCAATAAAGATGAGGACAACAGTCCGAACGATTTAAATAGTGTAAATATTCAAACAGCTTTAACCTGGATAATCTATTGAGTTAACCGATTTTCTACTACAAGTAAAACATTATCAAACATTTGTTTCGTCATTACTTTGTCTATAATTATTTTATCTAATAACAACAGAAGGGAAATTCCTTTCTTCGTTATTGCTTTTTTCTTCTCCATACTTTATTTTTCCTTTCTCTATGATCAGTTTACCGTATTTGGTGGTATAAAAGTTGTATGCCTGCCATAGAGGACGCACCCTCATTTCAGTAGAACATATGCGGGAAACAGAATTTATCATAATTAAGCCTGAAATGTTTAAATTATTACACCACAAAACAATACAAAAGCATTTAACTACAGCAGGAATCATTACTGTATATAAAAAGTAAGCCAAGCAGCAAAGTTGAACAACAATAATGAAAATATCCTACAGGATTACAGTAATAAAACATTGAGAATACAAAGTAGAAATTATTTTATATAAAAGCAAGCTAAATTTAAACTTAAACCAAAACTTATTTTAGCATTACCAATGCTTCTTTCAGTTGCGTATCTCTATCTTCTATCGTTTGTTTGTGGTTACTGATAGCAGTGTGTCGAGCTATATTTAGCTGTGATGATTCAATTGGGGCCAACAAACGATGAATTTTGTCACAATAATTCTTTTTACATTTGATGGATTGGGTTTGAACCGTTGAAATTGTTAAACCGTTACTTTAAAAAAAATCGGAGTAACGCTTAGTATCCCATCGCTTCAGTAATTGCTTGACACTGAAAATATTTTGAGAAAAACGCTATCTATTCGTGATTCTACGACTGGATGCAAAACAACCCACAATGCATGACCTTCGAGTGAAAAAAAATACCGTGCAGAAAATAATAATAATGAAAAATAATAATAATAATAATAATAGTGATAATAATTTTATCACAAAGACTAGGAAACTGGAACAAGAGGAAACCTATAAATATCTAGGAGTAAGTGAAGTAGATGGGATACAGCATAATTAAAGGAAGGAAAAAATATGAAAAAATATTACAGCCATTTACATCTGGTGTTAAATACAAAGTTAAAATAAAATTACAGAATATCAGCCATAAACAACTTGGCTGTCCTCGTGGTGCAATAGTCTCAACATTCTTAATTGAACCATAGCTGACATTACATGAATGAATGCCAAAACGTGAAAGCTTATCACTTGCCACCGCATGCATCATCCTGAGTCAGATGTTGATCGTCTGTATGCGTACAGATCCGAAAGTGTTAGAGGATTAGTTCAACTAGAACTGTCTTACAAAACCACAACATTCGGTCTTCGAAGATACATGGAAACTACAGAAGACGAGATGATGATCAAAGAACATGAAAGAAATAGGATAAATAATCAATATTAAAGGAAGCCAACGAATTCAAAATGCAATTCAAGTGGGTGAGGCAGTGCAAATAAACCACAATATACCAACTGCAGCGGCAAATATCTTAAAAAAGAAAGCAAAAGCAAATCCATTGTACCAGATAAAGAAAGAACTGGTAAGACAAACCTTTTCATTGTCAACACTCCGTAACAAACCGGCTTATGTAGAAAAATCACCTGTCCACCAGTGGTTACATAGTGCAGGGTTAAAAGCTGAAATCGAAGGTTTTATTCTTGCTGGACAGGTTCAATGCTTGCTAACTGGAAATTACCAAGCACACATACGGAAAAATTGTGTTAAAACGAAATGTAGATTTTGTGATAAATATCCAGAAAAAAATCGACTATATTGTATTAGGTTACACAGTATTAGCACCAACCTAATATAAAAGCCAGCATTATAGAGTGGGCCAATATCTGCACTGGAGAAAAAGGCATCTTTCGGCAGGAAAGAAACTGCAAAATACTTGCACGAAGATCACCCAGACCCGGTTACAGAGATAGAACCTGCAACAATTTTATGGGACTATACACAGAGAGAGAACAACCAAAGTTAATCATCCAGACATTGTGATCAAACACAACAAAAAGCAGAATTTTCTTACTTGTCATGGCTGTCAATGTGGATTGAAATGTATCTTTGAAAATTTTCAAACACCTCTCAAAATACAAGGATCCTGAAGTGAAAATTTAAAAAAATGTGGCACATGAGGACATCATTAATTCCAATTGTAGTTGGAATCCTCAGATTGATAGAAGGTTCCAATAGA